CTGCTTTCTTTTTGGTCGTCCCACAGCTGCTGTTGTTTTCCACCGGTTGATCTACAGCATGCAAACAAAGGCTGACTATAAATCACAGCTGACTCTACAAGCATGAAATCAGCTCGGTGAGTTATACATCCTCCACAGATAAGGTGACTAAATAATTGAATACAACCGCCTGGTGTGTAAACACATACAAGAAATAAGAGCATCTTCTAGAAAAACATCTGAAGGGTTATCGTTTCATGAGTAACAAGGAGCTATTAAAGACAATAACCATTAATAAAAAATACAATAATGTCTGATTAAGACACAGAGGTAGCAAATCAGGGATAAGGAGACGAGGGAAGTACGATGCACATGAGACAAAATAAAGCAGGAAACAACTTACGCCAAGATAAAGACTCAAATATCCAAACGTCACATGGAAACACCTACAAGGACGAGACTGGAGGAGCAGAATGGGAATTCACAAACCTTTAACCATGTAAAGCCAATAACTAAAGGCACAAATGACAAAAAGCACAGAGGAATATAAAATAAAACAGAACATGAACCGAAGAGCATGCACAAGCGGTGTGATATAAATGACTTTACAAAACCCAAAAGAAATCACAAAACTTAAAAACTGTGGCATTTTGCTGCCATGATCTTGGTCCGCTTGTCCTTTGAGGTTGAAGGGTCACTGCAAATCAATCCAAAGTTGTTCTGGGTGATTACTTCTGTCCAGTGACCAAATATTTCTGATCTGATGAGAGCAGTCTCTTCTGGGATTACAAAGTCGTTGGGAACAGAGGGACACGCTTGATTAGGATAAAAGTCACCAGATTTCAACCCAGATGAACATCTGTTGAACATTTTGAACTAGCACGTTTCACCAACTTGAAGAATATCCTTTGAGGAATGCTTTTCTATCTCCTCCGATTCGTAGAATCAATACAAAGCATGTGGAAGGTTATATAATGGAGCATGTCATTCTCATTTTAGAAAGAAGCAGGTCACTCCCAGAAGTAAACTGCTGTACCCAGTCATATTAAGCAGATATAGGAAGGAAATTTAGTGGCCATTATCCCATTTATGAGTACCTCTATATTACTGCTACCATGAATGTACCTTTGTATTAGTACAGGCTGTTGCTTAAGTGATAAAATGTGGACGTATCCTGCCCATAAAAGGAGCTGCACCTCGGCTCGCTTCACCAAAATCAGCAGAAATGTGTTCTCTGTGCATCGTCCAGCAGGACTGACCAACAACAAGCCGCGTCTGTGCATGAAGGCTCATCATTTGCTCGAGTGACCCTCGGGGCCACGGCGGCGTCCGAGCTATAACACGCTATGTGAACTAAACACACAATGACATGCAGCTGCAGGGCGAGGGCAGCCATGCTGGGTCAGAGCGAGCTCACGTAGGGATCAGGTTTGCAGATGGTTTGTCAGCAGGCTTTGGATGAATTAGTTCTTGAGATCCGCTCGTTTAACGCGCTGTTTGCTTTGGAGCTTTGCTATCGTCAACAATTTGCAGACGTGAGACGGGCTTTCTCAAAGGGTTTAGCTAAATTAAGGGCGCATTTGTCATGTACGAAACAACAAGTCAGCTCCCAGATCCCCTGATGTCAGTGATTTCCTCACTCATAATCATGCTAGTTTCAACTGCTGCTGAGAATAAATAGAGGAAATTAGAAAGCTGTTGCAGCTCAGAGCCATTATTCTTTCTAGTAATGAGACAAAAGGCAGCATACATCATAATAAAGACTCTTTGTTAGTATATGTTTATTAGAATGTAATTGTTTCTTCTTTATGTGCTTAAGATTGTGTTTTGTGCATCAGATGCTGATTTGGAGATTTAGAAATCAATCCTGATGTTAAAGTTACTAGTTCGGTTATTTCTTCCAACATTTGATTTTTGTTACATCGCCGACAGCAACATGTTTGGATTCTCCATCTTTTCTTGCTGTAGGTGGAGTTTATGTTTTTATGGTGCACTGAAATATGGGCCACCAGCATCCATCAACATCATCGTCAAATTTAATCTAATAAAACAGTAAAAACTAAATCATATTTTCCCTTTTTAGTAAGCGTGACTTTAAATGTGTCACAGGATAAAAACCTTAACCCCTGCATCTCCTGCCCCCCTCATCAGTGGCCTAAAAACCTACTATAGTCAGTGTGTGTGCATGGCTGGGGCTTGCTGAGCCTTGGTGCCTATGGGACATGGTTATGGAGGGAGGGGTTCACCCTCCCCAACACTCCTCCGACTGTTGGTCCTGGAGTGTGTGGCTGGATGTTCTGGCATGGTCGCTGGCCCGCTCCCTTGTTTGTCCTTAGCTTTGGGGTATTTCCATACTGTATACCACATATAATGTAGTAACTTTAATAACATGAATCGAAATGAAGACATAAACAGATAAACCCTGAACAGGATCTCTCTTTAGCCGTCAAACCTTCACTCAGAAATTGTTTTGATTTTTGTAAACTTTGAGATTTTCCTCTATTTACTTTCCAGCAGTGGGACTCGGTGGTTTGTCAGCATGGAGGATAAACTCAGTGTTTATCCTCCATGCTGACATGTTATAGTATAATTCATTTAGCCTTGTTAGCCACACAGCACCAGCAGCGTTTTTGTGCTCTCGATGTGTTTGTGACCAGAGGGTGTTATCAAAAAATGAGTTGTCCCCGCGACCTTTCTGTCTCTAATAATGAAAATGAATTTACCCTTTTTAATTTTTCATATTTATTTCCCATCTTATTCATAGCCTTTTCCTTTTTTGTTTTCTTTAGGTCACGAGCAGTTGTCCAAGCATTTCACTACATATCGTACTGTGTATGACTGTGTACGTGACAAATAAAATTTGAATTTGAATTTGAATTTGAATCACAAAATTAACTTAATTTTTTATTCAGTTTGACTTCAAAGCCATAAACTCATCAGGAAAATGATTATTGAGGTCACAGAGAAATGGAGATGAGGGTCATTTTCTAGTAGACTTGCGTACAATCCAATCTTTTTGGCATCCAGAAGAGTCGCCATCTACTCATCATTAGAAAGCGAGTAGATTTATAGTACTTCCACTTTATTTTCCAGTCCTGAAAACTAAACTATGGCCATCTTTTAAAAACCGTACACACTCAGGCCATCCTTGGATTTCTCCACACAACCATCTCCAGGGTTTACAGAGAATGTTCCAAAAAGGAGAAAATGTGGTGACAGAAAATACCTTGTTGATGTCAGAGCTCAAAAAATAAATGGCCAGACTTCGAGCTGATGGGAAGGCAACAGTAACTCAAATAACCACTCTTTCAGTCAAGAATGTTGTTGCTGACCATGTCCACCCCATCTCCTCATGGCTGCTTCCAGCAGGATACCACACCAGCTGAAATCATCTCAGACTGGTTTTGTCACAATCAGCAGGGCTGACTGTGTGTAGAGTGAAGGGTGGACCCAAATGCAGACGAAAACAAAATGTGAAACATGACTTGAATAACAGAAAACGAGCCGTTTATTGAGGCTGGCAAAATAACTGTAAACAAAAGGCAAAAGGCAAGGCTAACAATAAACTAAACTGGGTGAGCTAAATGAACTAAAAACCTACAACAGGAACATGGACCTGACATGAGGAAACTTGAAACTACTTCTTGGCTTGCAAACAACGCAGACGATCTGACAATGACACACTGAAAACAGAGGACTTAAATACACAGGAGGTGATTAGGGGAAGTGGGAACACATGGAGGAACAGCTGACTGACATGAGCCTAATGACAGGACATGGGAAGTGAAACTAAATACAATGAACAAAGAACACACGACTCCTTCAAAATAAAACAGGAAACACTGAAACTAGACATGACAACACAAGCTTAACAGACCTAACACGTGATGAACGATACAAGAACGCAAACATAGAAACCAAGGAAACAATAAATAACAACTGCCTTTCCTTAACTAAAGCTAAATAGGAATGACACAAACTAATCACAAATCTAAAATGAGACAAATACAAAATGAACTCAGAGCGCCGGGTCAGAGACCCAGCCTGTGACAGGTTTCTTGAGCATGGCAGTGAATTCACTGTACTCAAACTGCTTCCATAGTCACCAAAGCACCTCTGGGATGTAGTCCAACAAAAATTCATTTAATGGATGTGCAGCTCACAAATCTGCAGCAACTGTCATGTCAACATGGACCAAAACTAAAAGCAGCTCTGAAAACAAGAGTGACCAATTCAATACCAATAAGGTGTACCTAATAAAGTGGCTGGTTAGCTATATATATGGCATAAAAGTGTACGGCCTTGCCTCTCGCTGTGTGGACGTGCTCCTGTCCTGACAAATGTATTTTTGATTCATATTCCATTTGCTGACATGAAAATGGAAATATTACTGATGCAAATAATCTCCCTTTACTAATTCTCACTAATATTCACATTTTAAATGAAAAAAGAAATGCTGTGAATTAAAATTATACAAATGTTTGTGTCAGAGCTTCTGTGTTTCTGCATTTCAATCTCTGCATTTTAATAAGATGATAATAATAATTATTATTATTCTAACCTCATTGAAAACAATTCCTAGGATGGCCCATATTTTGCTGTATCTACGGGGTGATGGAGACACTTCCGTTGGAAACCTGTCACATTTGTCATCAGTATTTAGTGTTTATGACGTAGCTGCTGCTTGGAAATGTTTCACATTCCCACAGCCTGCTTTACGTGTTGTCCCTCATGTTGTCCGTATATACTTTGGAATGTGGATCAATCCGACAGCTTTGACAGGTTATTTCATTTGTCACATTTCCAGTGTGCACACACTTCACACCAAAATCCCTTCAACATGAGAAATGATCACTTTTTGTTCCCACTCGAACTCACAGTGGTTTTCCATCTTTTTTCCCTCTCAATTTATTCTGATCCATTTCCTGCCTCCTTCACACATCAGTTCCCTCCCTCACCCTCCCCTTTACTTTCACTCCCCTCTTCCTCATTACTCCCCTCTCTCATTCTGTTCACTCATAGCAGTAATGTACCGGCTGCCTGGACTCTTCTCCTCCTCCTCGTCTCCTAACCGGATTGTCCAGCAGGGACTCTGTAGGAGCCTCTGGGGGGAGTGACAGTGCAGAGGACCGGCTGTACCCCAGGTGGAGAATCCACATTGAAAACTGGATGTGAAGGTAAGTCTGCTGGCGATGGGACTAAGCCAAAGAAAACCCCTGTTTGTGCAGAGTATGTTGTAACAGGATAAAGGTTTCTGTTTGTCCTGCAATTAGACGTGTTCCAACTTCAGATGATGGATCAAAGTACAGTTATTATGAAGTCATTTGGAGAAGCGGGTCTGGATTGTGTTGCCTCCAAATGTTTCATAATTGGCTTTGCTTTGACCTGAAGTGTTTTTCTTGTTATTTCACCCTTTAATCTGCTACGAAGCAGGCGTTTCTCATCATACGTGCCTGTTACTTTCTGCCAAAATGCTCTTCTGGATTCTATCTTCTTAACAGCCACAGCGGTGACCGTGGCTCAGGATCTTGCAGCATCTGCGCTCCTGATCAGAACAGCTGGGAGATTTCTCTCCACTGCTTCCTGTCAGGTTCTGATTTTCACAGAAAATTATTTTCCTGATTTTAAACACCAAACGTCTTCAGACTTGCTGCCACGCGAAACCCTGATATGTTTGCAGTACAGTTATGCTGCCAGCATCTCCACGCACTGCTCTTTCAGGTGCAGCATCTCTTGATGAATAATTAAGTGGAGTACAGATAGAGTTCATTTCAGCTTCGTGGACACTGACCCCCCTGCAGAGCTCTGATAGCTCCAGCTGCATTTGGATCCTGGGAAAACTGTGTCCCTTCAAAAAGATAGAGGTGTTTTTCTGAATAAGGCTGACGCGCACTGACTCTACAGTCCCGTCTGTGCTGCTGACGTACTGAAAAGACTGTAAATTTTAGGATTTAATAAAACACCTCTAAGGCTCTGAGCTGCATTCCCACCTCCAGAATCAATAGCACCCACGGGACACGAGGTGTAGATGTGAATGTCTGCACGAGAAATTTCTCAGCTAGTGGAGACACAGAACGCTCCAAGCTTCAGGATTTAAGAGGTCCTTGGCTGGCGTGTAACACGTCTGCTGGGTTACTGACTGCCGGGAGTAATTACGGTCCCCTGTGCCACGTTTTTCTGGCAACCTCTCGACTTTCATGACGATCATCTTTCTCACTGCGGCTGCTGCAGGCAGCTCACGAGGAAACAGATCAGGTGTCGTAGCAGATAAGACCGAGTGAGTCTCATGGGTCCACAGTGGATATTTCACCTTTTTTCACATGCAGCTTATTCGGCTTAATCTGTGATATTACACTGTAGTTTCCATTTGATCTAAGAAGAGAACTTCTACAAATGCAAACATTAACGTTTTGTCAGAATGCAGCTCTGATGTGGAAAATGTGATGAAGTGTAAAACTGTACCTGCTGCGGTCTTCTGTGCATGTCTTTGATGGTGAACAGTTCCACCTGCTATCAGTAAGTAAATAGATAAAATGTCAGGGCTTTTATAGAAATAATTACACAATGTCAATACAATGGTGTGCATTACAAAACAAAGTTGATTTAGTGATAGTGTTCATAACTTGAGTCATTCTTTACACATAAAATTAACCAAAACAAAATAGAGAAACTAGATTCTTCTTCCAGTAACACTAAATTTTTGAACTATGATACGGTGGCCCTGAGGCAACAAAGCCAAACCCAACATTTAAACACAAAACAATAAGATCAAAAAGAGGAATAAAAGTAAAAAGTGTCATTTTGTTGCTGTTTTTCTTGTTTTTACAGCCACCGTATTATTCAGACAGCACAAACAGTTTGAAGGACTTAATAAGTTTATACTCTGTATTTGAAGTTAGCCATAAAAACATCTCATTATTCATCTTCAGCGCAGCAAACATGCATCATTTTGTCTGAGGTCAAACACTGAATGCATCTCTGCATACACCTTACACCTCCTATGGGAGCTGAGCATCTATTAATACTAAATAAGACATCCTATCTGAGCACGTGGGAAGCTGTTCCATAATAAGCAATGAGATAAGAGAATATTTCTAATTATAAACAAAAAAGGGTTGTAATGGTTCTATTTTGTTACTTCAGAATCTGGGAAAAGTCAAAGGACGCAGCTTTTAATTTATAGCCTGGACTTAAATCTACTTAAATGTAATTCTTAAACACAAACACTCTGGAGCCTTTGGTCATATAAGTACAACACATAAATCCTCATACGTGTTTCTTTTCTTTACTCTTTTGCTATGAAATTACAGAAGCTTCAGAGTTGAGGATTTTAATATATTTGTAAAATACCTGTTTTATTGTTTAAGTGTAAATACATTTAATTTAACCCTAAGTTTTAACTTAAAAGATTCTCAGATATCTTTTTAGCAGGTGAGTGAAAGACTCTCGGGTGATGTTAGAATATAATGTTATAGGTCGTGGATGAAATGTGCGTATCTCTGTGAGTAATTCACTGGAGAGAAGACCCAAATGCACTGAAGTAGGTTAAACAAATAAAAGAACATGCCTCTAACGGCTGATAGAAAAAAAAATAAAGATGCACAAAGTCCAGTGAAACAAAACAGGGGAAAAGGGGAAGGAGTAGCAGGACAAACAACAGAAGGACAAACTGACGAGTGACACGAGCAAGCAAGATCGTATTTACACACACAGGGTGTCATAAAGAAGGGAGTAAAAGGAAGCACAAATGTTATTACCCAAATAATACAGGAAGTCACTGAGAAGATGAGGAAGACGTAAAACAAAAGCACACATGGCACTGGAAGGAAACTTCCAAATGAAAAAATGTAATAAAAACCCAATGGATCGCACAGGGACCTGGACAATCTCCAGTTACTGATTTCCACCATGAGACGATCACTAAACAGCATCCTGCCTGATCCCAATCTCATTCACAAAGTACAGATTATATCACGGACAGCTCTCTGATATATAAAGCTAAGAATATCTTTTTACACTGTCCTTCAATTAGAAATGGTTGTGACAGCAGCCAGAGCCCGTCACAGAGCCTGTCCACTTTACATTAATGCCATTGTTTTAAAAAATGACTGCAGTTCACCTAGAGGGCGCTGATGAGACTGAAAGAATTAAATGCTGTCCTAATAAAAATCCCATATTTAGTATTAATTACATATATCAGTACTGAACTAAAAATACACTAATATCATTTTTGATTATCTTCCAGGAACATCGCCTTTAAAACAAAGTATTAGCTAATGCTTGCTGTTTGGCTGCTTAATGAAAACATCTCATACAAAAAGCTATGTGGGGATTAAAGGTGATGTACCAACCAGCTGTTACTTACTTGACAGAAGAAACAAAAAGGGCAGATGCCAAAAAATGCTTCTTGGTGTTTAAACTATATACATTGTTTCTTTCCCTGTTGTCTAAAATGTCACCTCAACTTCTAGTGACCAAAGAGTTGGTGAAAGAAGGGGTGCTCTAAAAAATATCATAACATCTGGAAACAAACTACATAACCTATCCTAAAACAGAATTATTACAAAGCTAGCATCTGGAGTTAAATGCAGATTACTTTGTACCCAAGTCTCGTCTGGTTTAATTTTCACACGCTAATACTTTCATCGAGTTAGATTACGGCTTGGGTGTAACAGCATCCACCACAGCTAAAGGTAACATCAGACAGTAGTAGTCCACAGTAGTTTGTGGAGTGGGGTTTAGTATACTTCTTCTTCTGTCTAAACTAAGACACTAATTCAGAAAACACTTCATATCATATCAGTGAGGTTTGGAGGACTTGTGGTGAATTTCCCGTGGGACTAAATTAAGACTCTATTGAGAAAAAGGGCAGCAGGCAGCCTCCTTCATGTCGACCTCTCTCCTTTGTACATCATTGATCTTCATGATTGCATTTCTCTCCTGCTGGTTTATCGGGCTGTGGTGAATTAAAGCTGTCGTGCACTAAGCTATTCGATGCTCCTCGAGTTTACGATCATATTCCTGCTACGGGCCATAAAATGTGCCAGTCATATAGTTTATATGCAGGGCTTTGGCACATAAATAGCATTTGGAAGGGCAGTAATTTAAAAATGACTACACGTTAGTGATAGTGATTGTCCCGCTTACATCATGAAAACACTGACAAATGGGGGGATTGTGGCTCTGTGATAATGTGTATGTTGGTTGAGCAACTACAAATGGTTTGTCACTGAAAGCTCGAGAGATAACGCAGTCCAAATATTGCCTCATGGATGAGGGAAGTAAATAAGGAAAGCAGGCAGATGGAGAAAAACAGGATGGCTGGCGCCCAGGTGAAAAGGTTAAATTGGGGACGGGAAGATAATGACCTGTGGTGGTGGGAGAGTGGAAGGGTCATTGCTGTCAGCCCATCTGCTGTTGTTGTGAACCTGCAGTTTAATTGACTGAGTCCAAACTAAGTGGATTTAGCATATTTTTGTTTCCACGGTTTATTTCTGAAACAGTTTGGCTGAGCAAACATCGTTTATCAGACGTCACCGAGCAGCTCAGAGAGCGGTGCATCGTCTGCAAAAGAAGATCTGTCATCATCTTGTTCCTCCGAACCACATCCATGTAAACCAGATCATATCAAAGAAATATTCCACTATGGTTTAAATTGTGCTTTCTTAACAAATATTCAATATCCGACAATGAACACCTTTTGATTATTTAACATTGTTGTCTGGCTATTTTCAGCTCACCGCCCTGTTTTTTCATTCTCACCTGGGGATTTTTGTACAGTCAGTGTGAGGCAGAAAGATGCCTGGTTAGTGTTAGAAAAATAAGATGAATACAATTTCTTGGTTTCTAGAATCAGGGATCCATACTGAGGAGTTTCAGGGACATCAATGTCTGCGTTCATATAAGACATTTAATCTCATTAGCTTGGGTTCTACCGTTTTCAGTTGTGTTATCAACTAAAAAAAACAATCTGAAGTTTGTCAACTCTGTTACAAAAACAGGTTTTTAGTCTCAGACACTCAATTTGTTAAAAAATAACTTGAAAACATGAAATACAGAGAATTCAGAAACATCCAACTAAAACTTCAGTCCTGCTCAGTGTTATAGATAAAAGTTACTTTAGATGCTCCTTTATGCATTTTAGGGGGCAGCTCCACATATTTCATATGGCACATTTTTACACCGGATGCCCTTCCTGAAACAACCCCCAAGGAATTTGTATCTCCTCCCAGGATCAAACTGAGGATCTTTCACTTGTTGGGTGATTGTGCAAACCACTGCACTGTGGAGCCACTTCTGCTCAGTATCACAGATGGCAGGTTTAAAACACAGAAAAAGACTAAAGCCAACAACGTATGTTGGTTTTGTATGTTGGTCTGCAGACTGCCTGACAGCAAACTGCCTTTGGCTCTCACAGAAAGTTGGTAAATCTTTAAGAAAAACAATTCCACATATTTTCCAATTACAGAACAGTAACTTGAAAAAAATGTGCCAGTAAATGGAGCGTGTGTTGAGGACTAATTCTGAGCAGTGGATGAATCAAGAGTTGTTGCGCTAGTGAGTATTTGAAAAGTTAACTTAGTTAATGTTGGTTAATGGATATGAAGGAACAGGTCACCCAGTGGAGCCTGGGGAGACATATTTGGACAGAGATGTGTCTTTAAATCTGCATTTGGTTGAAAATAAAAAGACACTCTTCCTTCTTAAAATAGTCTAGCTTGTGTAACTCAGTCATGACCATTTTAGTCAATCAAACGTTGTGCAAAAAACATTTTAGAAGCAACGGCTATGTGATCTTCAATAACATGAGGGGTGGGTGGGTTACATTTTAATAACCAGTTTAGTCTGGTTCTGGCACAAAGAGCTCCAGGAGGGAATTTTTCAGAGAAATTGGTTTACACATGTTCACAGTGGTCAAGGGTCTGCATACGTCTTCCAAAATCTGTGACTGAATGCACTTCAAAACTGAGCTTTTCGGTGTATTTGAGGGGGAAATAAGGTCTGCGTATGAAGTGCATCAACCCCAGATGTGCTGAAAAAATGCCCTGAACTTGTTTTTTGTGTTGAGTGACCCGATGTTTGTAAAGCTCTCCTTGCTAATCAATTGCAAACATAATTCTCTCTTTTTAACTTCGCCAGGGGAGCCGCCAAGGTCATGATCGACTGGCCCAATGTGACGGCGTCCGGCAACCAGGAGCTGGGCCTGAAACCCGAGGAGCTGCAGAAGTCCAAATGTGTCCTGGGTTTCATTCCCGTCATCTACTACAGCATTCTGCTCTCCATCGGAGTACCAGGTACACTTTTGAACCGAGCCAGCACATAAACCAATCAGAAAACAGGGAATCGCACATGACTCAAGAGATCAATATAAATGTGAGTTAGAGGTACATTAATGCTTCTATAATGGGGACTGGATAGTGGATAATACACTCAGGGATGTCTGTTTTCACAGTTTATGTTAATTTCATTAGCTGATAATGAGGTTGTGTGGGAATTTACCCAATTATTATCCCTCACTCCAGCCAACCATGTTAGGATCAACTTGCTTATCAGACAGCACTCGCACCAGCTACGTCTTCATTATCATGTTTCACTTTTACAAGTCAGTGATGACGTGAAATTGAGGCATTCAGATGTCCTCTTTGCTGTTTCAAATAACTGCTCCCAAAGGGAAAAAACTCTCAGGGCCGAAGAGCCAACGTCTGCAATCCTGGAGGGTCGAAAACTATGATCCAAATAGCTGCAGTGGAAATATCTTACTGCTGACAAGACGTCTGAGATGAAATAGTACAGAGGAGATTGTGTGTCTGACAGCGTGCAGGGAGACAATAAAAACAGCGTCTTTTTTTAACATACTCTAAAAAGCAGAAGCAGAAACTCTGAGTTTGGAAAACAAGGATTTAAACAGAAACATTTAATGCTTTATTATTAACTGTAACGTCTAAATATTAATGTGCTCCATCTCAGTAATTTAGTCTCTCAAGTAAACTGCAATGCCAAATTGATTTAATTAACTTTTGGGCTGATTTAATGTTTCCTATGTGATTTTATACTAATGAAAAAAACTCACAGTCAAATGCTACACAGCTTTAGATACTGTGCTTTTGCCACTGACCTTTCATTGGCATCACCAACTGTTCTTTAGGCCTGTGTGAGGCCTTAACTTGGTTGTATTTATCCTTCACAAAGACGCTGCCATGCCATAATGTATTTTTCTTTGCTAAGTTTGCTGTCATTACGAATATCCATAAAATACTAAACAACAATATTGTCATGAATTACAAGATGAGCGACCATATGCAGGCTGTTAGCGAAATGAAGTAACAAAAGGCAACATTTCATTTCAGCAGATAAAAGTCTAACGAAAAATGAAGGCAAACAGCTGATATAAAAAATAAATCTCCACCCGCAGTGTTGGTTTGTCCTTCAGGTTTGGGTCCTCCGCCAGAGGCCTGGGAGCTTGAGGGCCCTGCACACTATCTTAGAGAATAAAACTGATCATTTTAAAACACAGAAGACAACTAATAGCAGTACAGCAAGTAAAACATGAAGAAAGTAAGCAGCAGAATGCATGCACAAAAGTAAACTTAGCTTGATGAAAGCAAAACACACCGGGGAAAACTGAGGGAATTAATTCATATAAACAGTAACTGGAACTAAGAACTAAAGACTCAGAAGACTGAGGAAATACACAAAGAAGCCCCTGCCACAAATGTAAACAACACGCAAACTAAGAATCAAAAAGAAAATATTTAATAATAAACAGAATTAGAAGGTCCAAAACCTAAAAGCCCCTGGGTTTAAGTCTCGGACTTAAACTCGGGATGATTTCCCCTGAAATTCCCTGAAAGTTGTGCAGACGTGCGGCGCTTGTTCTCTCTGCCTTTTAAGAAAAAGATGAAGTGAACCGTTCCCATTTCACAGATTTCTTTATGCAGCTAAACCAAAATCCTTGTAGGATCTAGTCTTGCCAGAAAATCTTGGGGGGGTTATTATTTGGGCCGTTATCCTTAGGTTGCTTTATTTCAGTATTCACTGGGACATAAAAGTGATCACCAGTGTCAACAGTCAGATCGAATAAAAACCTCTTAAAAGGTTTATTAATCTACTCCAAAATACAGATTTAAAGAGCTTTTATTTTCATGACTTTTATCCTTTTAATCTCATTTCTGCTTCTTTGTTTGTCCCAGTAAACATCCTCACAGCAGTGGCCTTGTGCAGACTGGCGTCCCGCACTAAGAAGGCTCTGTACTACTACCTCTTGGCAGTGACAGCCTCAGATATTCTCTCCCAGCTCTTCATCATCTTCGTCGGCTTCCTGCTGGAGACGGCAGTTTTTCACCGGGATGTCCCCGCTCTCCTGCTGCACTCTGTCAGCGTCGCCGAGTTTGCAGCCAACCACGCTTCCATATGGTCCACCGTACCGCTCACTGTGGACCGCTACGTGGCGCTGTGCCACCCCCTCCTCCACCGGCAGATCAGCTACCCGGCACGAGCCAGGAAGATTATCGGGGTGGTCCTGGCAACATCGATCGCATCGGGCGTGCCTTTCTTCTGGTGGTCAGACATGTGGAGGAACAGCCATCCGCCCACAGCGCTGGACGCCGTCCTCATATGGACACATGTGACTATCATCTACTTCCTGCCGTGCAGCATCTTCTTAGTGCTGAACTCTCTGATAATCCACACACTGAGGGTGAGGCAGAGAGAGCAGCGCTGTCAGGAGGAGCAGGGGACCAAGTCGGTGCCACTGCAAAGACTCGGGAAAACCACGGCCATGCTGCTGGCCATCACCTCAGTGTTCTCAATCCTGTGGGCGCCCAGAACCATCGTGGTCATCTACCACCTGTACGTGTCCACTGTTCATCGAGACTGGCGCATCCACCTGGCCTATGACCTCTCCAACATGCTGGCCATGCTCAACACCGCAGTCAACTTCTTCCTCTACTGCTTCGTCAGTAAGCCTTTCCGCAGCGCCGTACGGGAAGTCATACTGCTCAGGGGGTCGCCGCTCTACTCTCGCCGCGCTCTGCCCCAGCAGCAGGTCCCCACCAACGCCTCCATTTCCTCTCTGTACAGTGGGAACAGCAAGCGGTTTCAGCGGGACTTCACCCCCTTGTCACCTCATGGGGCCAGAAAGCCCTCATGACCCTGTGACTTGTCCTCTTAATCCAAAACACCCATCATCCCACGGTCCCGGTGCACTCCTCACCCCAGGGACGCGTACTGTGTTCCAGCTACGACTGTGGGCAGCGACCGGTCGGCCCTGGGGCGCTCTCAGAGGGCCTGATAGCGGCTTAGCATGATTTTCGTCTTACAGTGTTTGACCTCGTGTTGTTTGTCCATGTAAATCAGATAACGTGACAGCCTATTTATTTTTCTTGAGAAGAATCTGAGGAAATAAAAGTAGATTTTTTTTCCATAGATGGTAGTAATGTGACTGATTTGTTTATATTTTTACAAAACAAAACAGAAGGACAAAATCCCTTTTTGAACAATAATGTAAGCCCAGATGTAGATTCGTGTTAATATTAAAGACTTTTTGCATATTAAGTGCAATCAGTGATCGTTGCTGTTCCTTCGGTCATGTAACCTGGTGTGACATTCACTCTGGAAGCTGCAAAGATGTCCGAATAAGAGTGATAATGTTGAATAAACAGTTTTTTTCTGCAGTTGTATAAAGACAAGGAGTGAATCAATAGGCAGTGTGACAGGACTCTGTCACTGCACTGTGCTCCCAGCCATTAAAAACCATCCAACTTGACAAAGCCTCAAATGAAAGCTCAGTTTTTTAAGCCACAGGAGTGAAGGCCTGCTTTTCAGACAACTGTATCACTCACCAATGTGGCCTCAGCTCTAGCCTGATAGTCTGCACTAACACTAACACTAACACTACACTCACAAGGAAGCGTGGACGCTTTTGCATGCACAGCCACTGCATTTCCACCAAACGATGTAAAAGTTGCAAATGTTCTACCATCTAATTGTAAATATGCACAAATTAAGACTGTTGTTGACCTTCAACATTCAAGCATTAGGTATCTTAGTCTTCTGAAAGTAGACGTGACTGCACGCCCCTGTTTGTAATTTACCATAATTTACAAATGAGCTTTATGTTGTGTTCATTAAGACTTCAAATACGTGATTGAGTCAATGCACTCATCACAAAACTATTTACTGAAGTCCTATCACGAGGGAGCCGAGGGAGGTTTTCCCCTGGACATTTATATAAACAGATGTGTTTTTACAACCAGAGGCCTCATTTTCAGTCGGATGTTCCTGGAAAATCATTTACTAATCATTTAAATGGTAGAAAAAAGAAATAAATCAGAGTAGTTACTGTTCTGAAATAAATAATCAGCAAATGGTTTAAATTGTGTACAATTTTATGGACATGGTTAAATATTTTATGTACTAATATTTCAAGTGTATTTAGGATGTATTTGAATCTCGTTCCTCGATGGTGAGATTCTGTGGACTGCACACTGTGCATGACAGCAGCCTTCGCTCCCTGCACACACACAGCTCCAGTCATACCAGTTCACTCTGACACAGCTGTCGTATAACCGTCTATTCTGTAGGTTAAAGTAAACCTACTGCAGGACGGCACTGATTAGAAACAGCTAAATTGGTACTGAATAATAATTAAATATGATTAATTAGCTTAATGGGCTCGTATTTCTCTTGCAGAATAGTGAAGGCAGCAACATTTTAGCATGTAAGTTGCCAAAAGGGCACATTTCTACTTGCAGTCTTAGAAGTTCCAGCCTTTATATACAAACTATGATATAAAAGAACAAATCATTTTCTTCCTCCGCACTGCTTTCAACATCAAACAACACTGGAGCCTCATTTCATCCTAGTGTCCAAGGATTGCACGTAAATGATCAGTTTCCACGAACGAGCTCAGAGATGAGAACAACTAGTGTAACTTAATGCATTTGTCAGTTTTTTTATTTGTATTGGTGAATTGTTTTTTCTTGTGGTTGGATTTTCTTTGATGGTCAAAAACTGTTTGCATTCAATAAAAATCGAAAATGTATTTAAACTGTTAAGAAGTCTTGACTCGTGTGACTTTTGAAATTGAGTGACAGAGGGGAACCTGGTCAGAGGGGAGGGGTCTGTGGGAAATCAGAATACTCTAATTGAAAATTGGTTGAAAAACTGTAATTGTGGGAACACTTCCTGCTTCTATCAGGTAAACTTGGCATCATGTTTGGTGTATGAGATTCAGCTGTGAGGTGACGGAGCGGTCTGCTTCTGTCTTATTCTACTGAGCAGTGGAGCAAAGAACAATGTCCCACACATTCTTTATTTTTACCTCTTCACATAGATTTCAGTTGCATTTTAGCCACATGATAAACAAACAGTTTCAAGAACTAAAAGACTTTACTTTTCAAATTCCTTACATTAATTTTAACCTCAGACTTCTTTTATAAATCCTCATTTGGAGATTCAGAGGAGCTGAAAGCTCCATAAACAGGTCACTGGTGACCGTGTGGATGTTAAGAGTTTTTGGGTTCCACGTGGCTGCTTGTACTTTGCCGGAGACAGACTGGTGATTTTATGCATTTTGTGTCCTCTCACATATTTGTCAATTCATTTTTAGTTTGTTTACAGAGGTAGCTGTCATGGATGAGCCTAGATGTAATAATAATAATATAATAATACATTTTATTTGAGGGTGCCTTTCTAAAACCTAAAAGATATCACTACAACTGTAGATTAAAATAAATTTATATGCAAAAAACAACAAATAAAAATGAGAAAAACACAAAAAAAACCCCAAATAAACAAGTTTTGAAAAGTAAGTAAGATCTGTATTAAAGCGAGTGAGCCTCTTTAAACAAGCAGGTTTTGAGCTGTGACTTAAATAAGAGAAGAGAATCTATATTTCTTAAGACTGAAGGAAGTGAGCTCCAGAGCCGAGGAGCAGAGCGACTGAAAGCTCTGTGCCCCACAGTAATGAGACGAGCAGAGGGAACAACAAGATGAGTGGCAGATCTGAGAGAGCAGGAAACAGTCAAAGACACACTGACATCAGTATCTGCAGTAGTGACTGTGACAACATTAGTAGTGAACGTGTGTGGGCTACATAAATAGTGTAACCTCTCTAAATATCAATAACTATCAAATCATACCAACATATAGGTGACAATTTATTCATTCATTACATTCTTCTTCTTCGTGGTTCAGTGTTTTTCTATAAAGAAAAGCACTAAAGCACTAATGGCCAAGTTTACATTGACCATAAGGAAAACAGAAACATCAAATGTTTTCTGTCTTCCTAAAAAATGAACTTTTTTAGGAAAAATATTCCTAAATATTTTGAATTGATGGCAGTGACACAACCTGTATATACACTTCAGCCATGATGGTGCCTTTCCAGATGTGCGTAGGAATTAATGCACCCTTGTACCTTTGAACCGAGTGCTGAAAACAAGCTGGATGGTCACCCTGTTCTTTAGGCTGGACAGCATGGATCATGTTGCCTCAGTTCCTTTTAAATTAGCTTTGGTCCCGAGAAGATGACGGTGTTTCTGGAACGTTCATGTTCACTTATTAGTGGCATGATGGAGCTTTAACCTGCATTTGTGGACGACACGGTCAGCTGTGTTTCTGAGCCCGTGCGTGTCTGTTTTTGGTGCAGTGCTGCTCGAGGGCTTGAAGATCATGGACATCTACGGTTTATTTCTGGCCTTGTCTCTTGTTCACAGACAGATGTACTGTGGCTGATACTGTCTACCACAGACATTTAAAGTCTTTGCAATTTTACATCAAAAAACATTATTTCTTAAATTGTTCTACAAGTCGTAGATGCAGTTTTCCTCTCTAACATACCCAGTCATGCTAATGACCTGCTGCTAATTAACACCATTGGCTGCAAAATGTTCCTCCAGCTCTTTTCCAGCTTTTTATTTCCCCATCCCACCTTTTTTGCTACCATCCAATTAAAAATTGAGTAAATACTTTTCTGGGAATGGAACATTTTCTTCTTTCAAACATTTGATGTGTGTTCTGTGCTCTATTGTGAATAAAATATGGGTTTATGAGATTTGTGACTCACAGTATTCTGTTTTTATTTACACTTAATACAAAATCCCAGATGTGCATACTGGGTTTGTACATCTGGCCATCCTTTCAGGTTAAAAGTTTCTAATCCAAGCCCCCTGCTGACCCTCGACCATCCTGAGTCTTCGCCGTGTTTACTGTAACGGTACATGACGCAGCGTTAGAGCCCCACCAGCAGGCTCATGTGGCCCTGCTGTCGGCTCACGCTGAGTTCTGAGAGTTCGTACGGAGATGCAGATACAAACGGTTTCTTTGAAGATGACTCCTGCTGCCTCACAACAACAGAGGGGGGTGAGAGAGAGCGTGTGGTGGCAGCAACCTTACGGTGGTGATGAGAGTGGGAGTCAGAGATGAATGATCAAACATAACACAGCGCAAAGATGTCCAAGCAGGCTTTGATTTACTCGAACAGAGATGCTGCTGATCGTATTAGGCAGCAGAGCGGTGACGCTGGGGGAAGGGCATTGTAGAGGAGGTAAACCCCGGCAGCCACACGGCCCCCGTCTGCCTGACACCTGTCCTTTGTGCCTGTTCAAACACCTGCTGATGGCCCCCCCACTCTGCTCCTATTGAGCCCTTCCTGTTGCTTAGCAGGTGTCACAAGGAATCAAATGAAAAGACAGAGCACAGCAGAGAGTGATGGCGTCCTATCAGATGCACTTATGCAATAAACACAGGAAGTTTACACTACACAACAAAGGGAGGAAGTTTGCCCAATTTACTTACTTAAAGAAAAGTTCCGATTTTATGTAGTTTCAGTAGCAACGCAGGAAGTAACACTGGCCAAAAGACATTTCCTTCACTTTTCCCTGAGGTTGCTGGTGCTAAAAAATGCTAAGCTAAAAAATGCAAAGACTTGCATTCAGCTTGATTTCAGCCTTTCATCATTAATCATTTTATGCTTTGATGATGGGAGTTTCTGCCACACAACATCCACTCAAGAAAAAAAACGACTTTTTAAATGTCCGTGACTTTGAATCTAAAGACAATGAGTGCATGTTGGTTTGATCCTGCATGTAAACACTGGGGTAGTTTCATATGGAGGGAAAATAAAGGTTTAACAAAGGATCAGTGCAGTTTAATTTCCATTGTGTAGTTTCAGGTGAGGACGTTGTGTTAATTTCAATCTGGACATTCAGACGAAAAGAACTTGTTTGAAATCTGGCCTTGTCATAATAATAGTAATAATAATAATAGCTTTTGATCATATTAGTAATAAAGGAAGATGCCAGGTGATAAAATAGGTTTTATGGGCACTTTTTAGTCCAGCACAGTGAATCCGAATAATTATTTTAATCTGTCTTTACTTTATCTGTCTGCACTCTGACTTTTTCTTCGGTTTCAGATTTAATATCCTGTTGAAATAAGAGAAAAAAATCAGAGTGATGAAATGGGGCTTGCCAGAACAAAGAATAATGCATCACTACCTCTGCAGGGATTCGCTTTAACAAAATATGTCTGATCTTTATCTGGAAACAGACAACTGATGGACACCAGGGCTCTGCTGGAAGGAAGCAAGGAGATGTTTAGTTCTCAAAGAAAAACTGTTTGGTTCCAAGGCCAGGTGAAGGACCTAATTTTAGAGAATGGAAAACTGAAAGCATAATTCTTATCAGTGATAACCAGATGGAGGAGCTGAAAAGTGAGAATGAGAATCGTGAATAAAGAAGCCAGCAGCCTCACTAAGGATAAATGAGGCAGGAAGCATCAGAAGGTGATTTATAAGCATGAGGGTCTGTGTGGACTGGTCTTTTAATCATTCCCCCAAAACCTCACATGCACCTAATTCTTCACCTGTACTGTCAGCGCTTACACATCGATTTCAAAAGAGGTTGTTTTTTGTTTTTTTACTCCATGAGAGTCACAGAAGGTTGATTATAGCACATAAATGCACATTTTTCACCTGCAGCGAGCATCAAAACATTCTGTTACTGGGGAAGAGCTTTTAAGAATTTCTAGCTTCTGTCTTTAAATGTTGAGGCTTTAAATAATAAAAGTGTTGACATTTTGGCTGCAGTTGCAACAATGTAACAGTCAGAATGTATTATATTATCAGAGTCCATCTTTTTTCTGAACTACAGAGCGAGCTCGTTGCTCCAGGTGGGCTATAGCCTGACCCAGGACAGGTCACCAGCTCCACTGGTCACAGGGCATCGCAAAGAGGCAGGCTGCCTCATACTCTCATATCCACGGGTGATTTAGAACCGGTAATGGACCTAATATACATGTCTTTGGACTGCATGAGGAAGCTGGAGCTTCTTACTGTGAGGCCACAGTGCTAACCACAGCAGCTCTTTTTATCTGTGAAGTTGCATTAAAATGATTGAGAATGAGCAGAAAAGGAGCTTGCTGCCCTCTCTGGGCTAACAGAGGTATTGCCAGACAGCAAAATAAAATAAAAGCTTTTCTTGAATTGTCCAAATTTGGGCAAACTGGCACCTTATCACATCCACCATTTAATATGAAATTGTGCTTCGTCTTTATTGAATTCTAATTTACTTTTATTTATTAGCTTTACCTGGATTTAAGGTTTTTATTTTCATTTGATGGTCAAGAAACTAAAAATGAAATAATAATGAATAATGAAGAAAAGAAATGTGGTGGCCTCAGCTATCTTTTATGGTGTGGTCTGCTGGGATGGCAACCACTCTGCCGGGGACAGGATGAGACTGAAAAGGCTGATCCGCAGGGCCAGCTCTGTTCTAGGATGCCCTCCGGCCCCAGTGGAGGTGGTGAGTGACAGGAGAATGGAGGCTAAGCTGTCATCCCTGATGGACAACATCTCCCACCCCGTGCAGGAGACTGTGACAGCACTGAGCAGCTCCTTCAGTGGCTGCAGCACCCATGGTGTGGGACGGAGAGATTTTGCAGGTCTTTCCTCCCCACTGCTGTCAGACTCCACAACTAAGACGTCAACTGATCAAACACACACTTCCACACATGTGCAATAACACTAAGTGCAATACTCTTTCTGGCATCGTTGTATTATACTCATATTGTATATAGCATCTTATCTTTTTGAAGTATCTCTGAGCATTGCACAGTATAACCTTCGGGTGAATTTGCTGGGATGTCCACTCCTGGGTGTGTTAACACACACCTGAATGCTTCAGACTAACAAACTGCCAAAACCTCTACAGAGGTGCTAACACTTGATAATGAACCGTTAATCAATTGATTAGAAGTACATTTTTCCCATGAAAAACGCAAAACAATTCTTTTTTTCACAGGACTGCATTCAGATTTTCTGCAAAGGAGATTGGAGGAGAGATTCTGAAAGATGATTTGTAGAAATAAACACTTGCAGGTGTTGGCGTCCTTCACCTGCTGCTGAATTCTTCGAATCCTCCACTAGATGTCTCTACACACCACTCACACGTTCAGGTAGCCCAGCTGTTCACTCAAAATGTCTGTTTATCATTATCAGTGGAAGAGTGACTTAAGAGCTGGTTGTGAGCAGAGCCACATAAAATGGCCTATACTGAGCCTCTGTGTGTGACCCTTACAGGGACGCTTTCAGTGGGGAAAATGTGGCAGTGTCCTGGAAGCTACCACCATAAAGCAATAAAACAGAAACTGTTCCCATGAGTGAAGGCTGACGCTGAAATTGGCTGAGCTCACAGCTTCTGTGTGGAAGCCTTTCAGAGGAAACAAATAGAAACGGTGTCATTTAAGGTGTGAGGTACTCATACAGAACTGAGTGGCCTTTCACTGGAGAAAAACATGGTCATTACTGTGAAGGGGGCCACAAGTGAGAAAATACTTTTATTTTAGCTGTATTTTGTTGTTAAAAACTTTTGCAGAGTATGATAATGACTTCTATCAAGAGTCTAAATTTCTTTGCAAATGAGTTATTTATACAAAACAGTATTTACTCCTTTTTTCGCCTGTAGCTGCTGCTGCACATGCCCAGTGTGCCCTGCACTAATCTGAATGCATTTCTAACACCGAGGCCCGACTTCTGCCGTTTTTTAAAGTTTTTAAAATGTGTTTGATTTACAGGGCAGCTGTAGCCTTGACGCTACAACAGATAGGAGTCAATAACATTCAGTGTGTTAGGATGTGATTCATTAATATTAAACAATATTTTAAAGACTGTTTGTGACCTGGTTTTACGGATATTTGTGCTTCAAGCTGTGTAACATGATACATAATATCCTAGAATATTTGATACAAATCAGATACTGCCAGGCCATAAACGCTTTAAGAAAATCATTCGTGGGTTGTAAGTCTCCCGGAAGTGAGGGTAGGTCGCTGTAGTGTCCTTTGAAGTGATGAACAGCAGTGCGCGCGTGTGCGTCTCCGTGCGTGCTCGGAGAGACGAAGAGGGGAGAGGTGGAGAGGGGATGACTGTAGTCACACCGAGAGGAAAAGCTCGTGAAAGGATTCCTAAACTTGGGAGCGGTCGGATCAGCTGTGCCGCAGTTTGCTTCTTCTCCGAGTAATTTGTGCCCAACTATAGCGGCGCGTTCGCAGCAGGTGAAAACCAACGAGCCGCGCCCAGCAGAAATCTGCCGAGAACAGCCAGGTAGTTAAACTCCTCACAGCCATCACAGCCTTTATTCACGCTCACTGAAGCTTTACCGCCTGTTTCTGAGCTTTGCGTCAGATTGATTTCTATATTTTCTGTGTATTTAGACAGAGAGAGCAGGGGGTCGTTTATGGAAGACCGTTTGTGCCACTAAATTAACAACTAAAGAAAAGTTATTCACTGAAAACAATTCTATTAAAATAGATTTTAAATAGCTGTGTTTAGGGAGAAATCAACAGTTAGACACGTTAGCTCGTGCTTTCAAATACTTAAGTTATACATTGTTGTGTTTGATTGTACAGCTGAAAGGAGGGGTAGAGAATGTAAGAAGGATTCAGTTGCGTAATGTAGAAAATCAGATTTAAGTAAAGTTCATCCCGAATTGCAGCATACTCTTCAGTTCATTTTCCTGATGGAAAACCCACTCCTGTGATCTCATGGGCTCACGATAAGGTTAGATATCAGTACGAGAAATAGACGACAGAGTTATACCTAGACCTGAGGACAGGACCACAGCAAATAGATTAAAGTGCAGGATGCAATATGTATTACCTTCAGTCGCAGTATTGTGTCTGGCACTTGGCTTGTAGTCATAGTAATGGTAAACTTGTCGTCCCATTTTAGTGTCACCTCTTAATTTTGACTCACTGAGTTATTCTTACTGTTATAAGTGGCTTCTTTCTTCATGTAGACGTTTTTTAAAGCTACAGTGAATAGGATTAGTAGACTTCATTAAAAAGGCCATATAAGAGTTTAAAGGAGTAGAGGAGTATGAGTTTGGATGCTAGATTTTGAACCTGGAGTGTATGTTTTGTCTGTGCTGGTCAAAGTGTAGAAGCCCTATTGAGTCATCTGGAGGCGCACAAAGTAGGTTTTACCTGTGCGAGTTTGTGGTAAAGTAGCTAAACATATATCATAAGTTAGAGAAAACTGAAGAACCTTTTGACTCTTGAAAATCCACTTTACAGATTACATTTCTGTGGTTACATTTCCAGTTATTGCAACAATCAGATTCAATGTCTTGTATTAATTCAGGGATGTAGGCCGCATATACCCCACTTTGATCCTAAGTGGGTCGAACGGGTGAAAATCCACTTTCTGTGAGTGTGAAGGAACTTAACTTCACATTTAAACCCTGGGATATCTCAATATAAGAAAAATAAGTGCAATGTCAACAGTACGTCTCAGTTTGTCCACATGATAAAGAAATGCTGCTGAAAGAAATGAAAGAAACCTTAAATTCTTAAAATTAAAGCAGTTAATGTCCAGAATTACAAAAAGTCTGGTATCTCATTGTCCAGAATGGCCTGTTAGTATAAAGTTGGACAATTTTTCTAATTCACAGAAAAATAGAAAAAATAGATATTTCTTTAGTATATAGTCAAAAAACAGGAACTTCTTTGTTATTTGATTGTTTTTACTTTATTGCTGTAGTATGAAAAAGATGTCACATTTATGAAATGTATTTCCCTCTTCACATTTTCCAAAGATAGCCATCAGACTGTGTTGGAGTCTTTGCCAGGCCGACTCTGGCAAGACATCATTTGACATTCTCTAAAGTTTCACCGGCACAAAAATCCTCTAAAAAGTTTAGAAAACCAAAGTATTGAAATTGAAGATGCGCCTTAAATATGCTTATAATATTTCCCCTGGCAACAGTTACAAAAAACAACTCAACAAATATTAAAATGAACGGTCTAAGAACTTTGTTTGATCAGTGGTCACGCCCTGAAACTGGGAGTAAATGTATTAGTTAATTCTGTCTGTTTGAGGAGTGACAGAGTGGAGGACATGTAGAAAAAGAATATGTTTGCCTCTTTGTTCCAGAAAGATCCGTCTTCCTGATTGAGTAACAGAAGGTCAGAAAGACCGAATGTCCGCACGCCGCATCTATCGATTTGACTCAGAGACTGTCCTCAGTTTGGTGTAATTGGATCTGATAGGGACGAAAAGAAACAGCCAGACGAGGCAGAAAGACAAAACCAGGATTGCAGAGATGTTTATTCACAAAACAGATGCTCAGATTTTATGTAATTCAGCAGAAAACACTAAAAAGCAAAACCTTTGGATTTGAGTTGACCAGAGTTTTAGCAGGTGAGCCTCAGGTTCAACGCACTTTTTCCTCACTGTTGTGTAAATGTGCAGAAACAATGTCTGTTGACAGACGTGTTAATCATTAACATTAGAGTTGGGAAAAAGCCCAGCAGTGACATTCCTCCCACATTTTTGGAGTGTGACTGCAGGTCCCTGATTCTCTGAAGCTCTAAATAAAAGCAAAGCACCTTTTTATAGAACGTTTTCCAGGATAACATGACGACGTTGACTCATGCAAGTGTGATATTTGCTCAGCTGGGTGTAGACAACTGTATCCTAATGTAGCTTTGGTGACGTGGTTTAGCTCTTTGTTCTAATCTGTCCCTATCGTGTCTCTCCCAGACATTCCCTGTTTGTCCATCTGAACAGGTGCTGCTAGAGTCCCAGAGCAACTCCCAGGCTCCATGGCCAGCAACAGTACTCCTAAGGGCTGCGGCCCAAACGTGGATTCCATTTATTACAATCTGTGTAGCACTGAAGCTGCATGGGGCATTGTGCTGGAGGCCTTAGCGGCAGCTGGCATCGTCTTCTCCTTCGTGCTCTTCATCTCGCTGCTGGCCAGCCTGCCCTTCCATAAAGACTACAACCGCAAGAGCTCGGTAGCTCTTCACGCCTTCTTCCTGATCTGCACTGCTGGTCTCTTCTGCCTAACCTTTGCCTTCATCGTGGGAGAGAACTTCTCCACATGTGCTTCACGGAGGTTCCTCTTTGGGGTGCTGTTCAGCGGCTGCTTCGCCTCCCAGCTGATGCAGTGTGTGAGGCTGAACATCCTGGCCAGACGAAACAGCGGGCCTCGAGTTTGGGTCTTGTGTCTTGGGGCGTTGGGGCTGTGGCTGGTGGAGGTGATCATCAACACAGAATGGCTGATAATTACAATTGTGCCTTCCAACACCACAGCTCAAACTAGCAAAGCTATAGCCGTGCCTTGTGACATTGCTAACGAGGACTTTGTCATGGCGCTCATCTACGTGATGGTTCTGATCCTGGCTGTGGTGGTGGCGAGTCTGACCATCATGATGGGCAAACACGCACAGTGGAAGAAGGAAGGCGCTTGCATCCTTGTGACAAGCCTCTTTTCAGTGGGTATTTGGGTGGCGTGGATCGTGATGTACGTGTATGGGAATGGGAAAACCGGGGGTCCAACATGGGATGACCCAACCTTAGCCATCGCTTTGGTAGCAAACGCCTGGGTCTTCATTATCATGTACACCATTCCTGACGTCTGCTGTCTGAACAGTGACGATGAGAGTCAACAAGACTACACAGAAGATCTTTGCCAAAACCAAGGAGTTGGATACGAGACGATCCTGAAGGGACAATCCTCCCAGAATGTGTATGTGGAAAATAAGGCTTTCTCCATGGACGAGTCCAACCAAGGTATGTAGCTTAGCCTTGGAGCTGCTGTAGAAAACCTTCAAACAAGCAACTTCACAAGTACGCTTAACTTTGAAGGGTTTTTTCAACTGTTATAAAGGGATTGTAACATCGTCATGAGTCTTTATGGCTTCACAATTTTGCACCTTGTCCAAAATAGACCTTCAGATAGGACGCCTGAATCCGCAAAGGCATCATTTAAAAGGGTCCCAGGACAAATAGACCCAAAGCTGATTACAGTGGTCAAAATGACAACCAGTCAAAGGACCTAAAATTAGATGATGAACACAAGACTGAGCATAATTTTGACAAGGGGGATTATAAGAGTATAAAAAATGAGTACATAAATGTTAAAACCAACACGTGAGATCAGTTCTCCAAGACTGTTTAAAATACAGTTTCCAGATTTTTTTATGGATGTTTCGGTGATTTTTTTTTACTGAATAGATGAATTCATGAATGACTCAATGTCACATTTTTACAAACTTACAATTCTCAAACTTAAAACTAGTCTAAAGTTTAAAAATCATGTTTTGGAATTTATAAGCTATGACTGGGTAAACCTGTGGATCTCACATCAAGGCCAGTTTAAGGCAAACAAGAAAAACACTAAAAATCATTTGGATTTGGGCAATACATGAATTCATCGATTCATCTTCTCTCCTTTGTGAAAGAGATAAAGACTACAAGCTGGGGTGATTTTGTCCTTGTAATTTCCAAGAAGAAATGTTGTGTTGCCTCGAGGTATTCAGTGTTATTTGTTTCATCAAAGCAAAGTGGAGCTGATGTTTCTGGTGGTAGTTTAGCTCCGTCTTTTATTTCCTTGAATATGATGCAATAATATTTACATAGCAGCAATAAAACCAAATCAAACATTCCTGATTTTCCTGCAGCAGCCATATACAATATGACCGTGAAATAAAAGTTCTTCAGAGCAGCTACGCTCGGTTTGTTTCCTAAAGGCAAACATTTCCCCGGTCATCTATTTGTCTGCAAACCGAACGGTGTCTGAGCTCTTCAGTGCATTCACCCTGACACGTTTTCAGACAATAGCCATCCTTATGAGGTTCGCTTTAGTGTTATTACAAACTCTGCCTCTCACGATGACCTTGCGCTGATGAATGAATGTTTTCTAGCCCTCGAAAACACAAGAACAAACAAAATATGCAGCAAAATGTCCTGAAAGGTTGTTTTCTGTCCACATGATGACATCACAGAATCTGATCTGCTGATCTGAGCTCAGTCCAAAGGATCAGAGCAGTAAGTCTGATAGTTATCACAGATCGCTAATGGAAGATGGTTCTTTGTAGCAAGGAAGGTGATGTGTCTCTGCTTATAAGCTGCAAGAGACTTTTTTGTATTATTAGGTAGCTGTGATGTAGAGGTAGAAAGAGTAGCTTTGGCTTTGTGCTATTCTATTGTAAGGAAAATATGTTACTATACAGATAAGCACAATGTGTAAGAATGCAGAGGAGGTTCTGCCTCTTACAGTTTTCCTGATTAGCACAGACTAATGTGTGTCATAAAAAGTCTCAGAATTTGCTTTGAGCACATTTGACTGTAATCATTAACTTACATTAAGTCTTACAGTATGACTAAACTGCCATTAACTGAATATCATCATTCCCACCTAAAATCTTACCTTCTGAATCATTCTTGTTAATAAGTGTCTGACTGCATCTGTGAATGCTGTATCACTCCCACTAGAATCATTACGTCATCTGTTTGCGCTGTCTCCACGGCGACAAAGGTGTGGCAACTGTTTAATATGGGGGTTAGTTATATAGTGCCATCTCTGCAGGGCACTTTGTAAAAGATGGAGGGCAGGCAGGTTGTAATATGAAGATGAAGGGGATTATTGCCAGGTAGCACTTAAGAGGGCCACAGATATCACACACTGATTGTTGGGTGATTAAAAGAATTATTTTCTTATATCTGTTCATCACAGATTCCAAGCCCGTGTCTCCATACAGCGGCTACACCGGTCAGATGCGTAACTCGGTGTACCAGCCCACTGAGCTGGCTCTCATCAGCAAAGGAGTTGGAAATGTGAGTATAAAAGTGATACATTCACAGAAAAACACATTTGAATATGACCACTCCACTCGCACACATACCTGTCTCCTGCACTAGGCAAATTTTTATGGAAATAAGTGGTGACAGTAACCTTTTACAGAGCGTGAAAACCTCATCAACACCACATACACATAACACCAGCAACCATCACTTCCAAGCTACTTTAGTCCATATTTGCATTTTAATTAACAACAGGCAAAGGAAAATGGGAGAATGAATAAAACAGGTGGACATTTAAAAGTTGTCAGGAGCACGTGTGGCCTAAATCACAGCTTTAATTCTAATGTCACAGATGCCAGGGGTTAAACATTATATAATCACTAGATTCAAAATGGCATGTATTTTGTAAATTATGCGCACCGTTAGTGTCTGTAAAAACCACAACACCAGGTACGCTTTAGGGTTGAGCCAACCTTGTGACTAAAGAGCACTTGTTCTTCTTAGAAAAGCAAAAGCGCAGAGGTCACATGGGAAGCTTTTCAACTTCTGACCACAGTCTGTATATAAATGAGAGACTTACCCAACTCAGTAATAATTTAGACCCACCTTAAACTAAACTGTAGTAATAAGGACACAAAATAAACATCCAGTCAGCTTGTGAGGCCTGAAACTACTGACTAATATCACAAACTCTTTAAAAATGGTGCAATGAGGTCACAGATTAAAGTAACTGAACGAGCTAACGTTGTCCACCATATTGCATGTGATATAACCCCCGGTTGCTAGTGAAATGGCTGGTTGGCAGTAGTTGATGGAGGTTTCTGGCTGTCAGTGGATGAAATCTGTTGCACCAGAAACCTCCTTGAGACTGATTTTGTTGCCAGTAGTTTTTCTAGGCAATCATTTTCTGCTCTCAGTCCCCAGCAACCAATCACAACAATCTCAGGGAATGCTCATTTTTCCTACTACCTTTGGTTACTAGATGGTCGTGGATCGGTCTATAGGCCTGTTTGCCTGTTTGCATGGGCACAATCAGATTTCCCCACGCTGGTGCTGTTCCTATGTCATCATAACAGTTTTGGTCCAGGATCAACGTTGCAACTGACCAATCACATTGGCTGAGCAGTTAGCATTAGCAAAGAAGTTAACTGTTAAAAACTTTCTAACATGACTAATATCAATTTGGCAAACAGCAAATCTAACTTGATGAAATATTTATTATACTCCATAAATGAATAAAGAAAACACTCGACATGCTGACCATTTGTTCCAGAAGAGCCTTTTATATAAACAGAAGCATCTTTTTTTGCCCCCATGTTCCACAACTAACACCAACACCGGGATATCAGGGCGTTATTCACTTGATCCGATACTGTCACCATGATTGTCACACATCCACAATGACCGAAGTTATGTAATGTAACTTTTTTGTCTAACCATAAAAGAGAATCGCCCCTGCTGCAAATTAAACCGAATGTCCACGTTTTATACAAATTATGAAGTAAAATCTGTGACAGAAGCTTTTTTTATACAGTGTTTATGTCAGTGGTATCTGAGTAAGTGCTGGAAAGTGAGACTGAGTCCCTTAATGACTTTGTATACAAGGTCACCATTCAAATGCATTTTGAGTGTAGTATCAGTGCAGTCAGGGTTTATTTAGTGGAAAGCAGAGAGTTCCCAGTTAACTCAAAATCCTGGCAGCTATCTAATTAGTTAATGCTACAGTTGTACATGCATAAAATCTATTATCCTGAAAGGTTTTAGTATATTTTTTCCTTTCTGTGCCGCTTCCTTTGCAAGAAAAATAAAGTCAGCTCTGTCATACTTTTTCAAATGTCCGGTACCTGCTGCGGAAATATCTCAAGAGTTAGTATGCGATTTCTGTGAAAAGTTTTTTTAAAAATGACCCGTTTGTTTTTAAATGCAGTGAACCACCAAAGGCATGACGGTTATGTTTCATGTAAAAGCTTTATGAAGTCATTTGAATTCAAGCAGGCAGTTGTGAACACACTTCGCCCCTATTCTTGGATGTTTTTGTCACGGCCTTGTTATGACTTCACACAGCAGCAGCTACCAGACCCGTCCTTTGACATCTTCATTCCCAGAGCTTCCATTGGCTCTGCGGCCAACAGCGGGAGCAGCACACCGCCAACATAAAAGGAGACCGGGAACACAGCACGCACACACAAGTGTAGGTCGAAAGCAGCTGACTCGCCTCCTTCGTCACTCTGCAGTTCTCCTCTTTATCACCTGCTTGACTCCAGATGCTTTTCTCTTCATGGCCTCTGCTCATTTCCGACCTCTCAGGTCCTGCTGTATCCATAGCAACTTCTTCTACAGGTTGACTATGAATCACTTCTTTGTCTGGATTTTTTTTTCTTATCTTGCGCCGTTCACTCTCTATAGGCCTTGTGTCTGCCTCTTCTGTGCATATGCTCCTGGACTGAGCGCACTCTGTACTTCTTGTGTCATTCCTCTGGGAAATAATCAAAGAAAAAGATGTTGATGAGAAAGGTAGTGCTTGATTTGGGGGACTGGTTTTCACTGTTTGTCATTTATCTTTTTTAAAAAAAGTGAAATTCTTGCCTAAAGGCTCTAAAGGTGTCTCTGAAATGTGTGCAGCTCTCTCATTCATGGAGGAAGGCAGCTAATGTTCCTATGTTCATGGGCTACAAAAACGCAAAATTAGACTTTTCGTTGTCACCTTTATTTAATATAATTGCATTAGTTAATGTAGAGATTGACTTAAAGATGCTAAAATATGCATTTAGACTTTTTCAGGAGTGCTTAGGATTTCTTTGCAGGAAGTCATGATATCTATATGCAGGTGGGACTGTGAGCATGTCATTAGAAGTGTTGCTGGTTTGTTTTGGTTTTTAGATTTGCAAAGAAAAACAGCCACGCACGTGCTGCCATGTTTTAAGTAAAACATGAGCATGTGAATGGTTTCCAGTCAGTTTGTTATTTTTACGTTTCTATAAATATTTCTTTAGTTTTTCAACATCCAGTCAGGTTCAGGTTAGTTTGTATCCGTAGGGTTTTTTTTAGACCTTTATAAAAGTTGTTTTATTTGCAAGTTCTACAAGTAACCCTAAAAATGTAACTTGAATAAGTTTCTGTTCTTTACAAAGTGTGACGACAAACGAAAGAACAAAACAGATTCAATAAATGCAAAACAGATAAGATGCAGTTCTGTCAGCGTGGCTATAAAAAGTGATCATTTTCATAGAAGTAATAACTCTTAATGTAGTGATAAACATAAAAAAGCTCTTGTTATGAGAGTAATGTCTAAGTTCGTTTTTATCATGCTCAGCTTTTATACTTTTATGCTTGTG